TAGAACAATTTCTCTATCCTAAAGGAAACTAAGCCCCAGGCATGTCAAGCTCAGAAGAACGGCAGTCAGTGCCACAGATCCTTGCTAATGGTGATTTTAGTAAGACAGTGTAACCTGTCTTAACTAATATTAATTTTTAAAATTTGAGTTTTAATCCTTTACTTTGATTTTTAAATTTGTTTGGATTTCATAATGGTAAAAATTGTAATACAGAGGGCTGAGAGATGGCTCAGTAGTTAAGAGCAAGTACTGCTCTTCCAGAGGACCCCAGTTCTGTTCCCAGGACCTATATCGGGCAGCTCACAACCTCCTGTAATGCTAGCTCCAGGGGATCTAACACCCTCTTCTGACTTCTGTGGGCACTGGCATTCACATGTACAGACACACAAATATACATATAAATTAAAAAATGAAGCCAGCCATGGTCGAATAGGACCTCTGACTTATCTTCACATAGATGCAATTGGTAAAACAATGGAGCCAGGAGCACCTCCCAAGCCCATATGACCCCTGAGAAACAAATCCCTAAATGACGTTAAGTGTAAAAATAAATTGATTTATTTGGGCCAATGGTGTGCTCTTAAACATCCAAAAGGAAAGTATAACCAAAGAGTAAAGTCATCAGTGTATTTCTTTAAGAATTCAAGGGATTACACTATCTTGGTCTCCAATACTGTAGTGCCCACCTGTAGCTAAGGGAGACAACGCGCTACTGTTCTAAAATGATGGATAAATTTGTTTTCTCCCCCTATCTAGAAGCCTTTGAGAGGGAACTGACACTGATTCTAACCACTCCAGCAGCTATCAAAATACCTGAAAGGAAATCCTGAGTCCATCACTCTCGAGTCCAGCCTTAGAAGACAAAAGAAAAATGAAGAGGAACCCAATAGAGGGATGCTTTTGGAAGCTTTCATCAAAAAATTCCAATGAACTCTGATATGAACATTTAAAATTTGCCCTGTTCTGACTTTTTTCTAGTTCCCTGTCTAGAACTTGTAATACTAACTACTCTTGCCTTTACTTCTCCTTCACATCTCCTATTCACCAGTCAAGGACTTTCTTTTCCCCCTACAGATAAGAGTTATGCAATTTGGGAGTCTTTTAGAAAGACCCACTGAAGGGGTACCCCAATTGCCTCACCCTGCATCCCTGTTCAGCATGGAAGAAGCCAAAGCAGTTTGCATCCCGATTCCCTATCTGCAAGTTGGGTAACCTCTTCAGAAGATGATGATAAGAATAGGAGGTAGGAATTGGCTAAGTAGTTAGGGTATAAAGACCCCAAAGAAAAGTAGCCAGTTTTTTGGCTAAAAGTCAAAGTGTCCTTGGGCCTCTTAGCAACATACTCCGTTCCAAAGGCCAAAAATGTTGAAAGTATTTGGGAGCGCTTATCTAATCCTTAAAAGATTTTAGGATTACCTCTTCAGAGGAGGGAATGTTAGAGTAGCAAAAAGCCCCATTTTAAAAAAGAAAAAAGAAAGAAAGAAAAAGAGAGAGAGAGAAAAGAAAGAGAAAGAAAGAAAGAAAGAAAGAAAGAAAGAAAGAAAGAAAGAAAGAAAGAAAGAAAGAAAGAAAGAAAGAAGGTAAGTACATGAAGTTGTCAGAAAAAAAGTGATGGGGAAATATGGGAGGGGTTGGAGGGGAGGGAGTGGGCGTGGATTTGATCAAAACACCTTATATGCACGTATGAAATTCTCAATGAATTATTTTTTAAAAATGAAAAAAATCTTTTTAATGTAATTCGCTTAACAAATTTCTATGTAGTTTTAAGTTTTTACATATGTAAACAACATCATCATAAAATTATTCTAAATTTAAGACAAGAAGGGGAAATCTGTACAAAAAATTTTTGTCTTTCAAAAAAGATTTCTATAATAGTTAGGTTTACATGCCAAGTTAATGTTTAGAGGTTTAAATTTCAATAGTTTATCTGGAAAGGGTTGTTTTTTTTCTTGGTCTAGAACTCGGGGGAAAGTTAATCCATGAGTTTTACAAGGGAAGATTAAGATTACCTGGGAGTCAAGGTCTTTAGTCACAGTTTTCAACAGACATGAAAATGCATATGAAAGAAAGTTCAGGGCTGGAGAGATGGCTCAGTGGTTAAGAGCACTGCTGCTCTTGCAGAGGACCTGGGTTTGACTCCCAACACCCATATGGTGGCTAACAACTGTCTGTAACTCCAGTTCCAGGGGAATTTGACACTTTCTTCTAACTTCTGAAGACATTGCATAACATGGTACACTTACATACATGCAGGCAATACACTCATACACATAAAATAAAAATAATAAATAATGGGGCTGGAGAGATGGCTCAGAGGTTAAGAGCACTGACTGCTCTTGCAGAGGACCCGGGTTTGCTTCCCAGCACCCACATGGCAGCTACGAACCATCCTTAACTCCAGTTCCAGGGGAATCCAATGCCCTCTTCTGACCTCCATGGCATTGCACAACACGAGTGCGCTCACATGCAGGCAACACACTCATACACATAAAATAAAAATAATAAATAAAATTTTAAAAAATAATAAATAAATAAAATATTTTGAAAAAGAAATTTCATAAGCTTTATTCATAAAAGCCCCCAAGTAGAAAAAAACCCAGACCTCTGAGAATAAAAACGTCTCTTCAAGGTTGGAATGAGGGCAGAATTAGGGATTTTGTTTTGTTTTTGTTTTGCTTTTGTTTTGTTTTTCTGAGACAGACTCTTGCTATGTTGACCAGGTTGGTTTGGAATTTACTGTATAGCCTAGGATGTCCTCAAACTCCTGATCTTCCTACCTCAGTCTCCTGAGTGTTACAGTTCCAAGTCTGAGTCCCAATACCTGTGTCAAAGCAAATTGTGCTTGCTAATGTGGGTAGGTGTCTTCCAAGCAACTGAAGGCCTAAACACAACCAAAAATAAAAAGTGACCTACTCTGAGCAAGAGGGAATTTGGTAAGCAAAAAGCCAGAACTGTGTTACAATGTCAGACTTGAACTACAGTGTCACCTGTTCCTATCAGTTCAACCTTCACACTTTGGACTTGGCTCCCACTGTCACATGAGTCTATTTCTTAGATTAAGTCTCCCTCTCCGCCACTGCATCCACCCAGTCACTCACGCATTCACACTGCTGGTTCCGTCTCGCTTCAGAAGGCGGACTAACACAGTGCTAAAGCACTGACATGTGCTACAACATGGACCAACCTTAGTACTGCGCTGGTCAGGCAGTGAGTGACACACGCCTATGATCCTGGCACTTGGGAGGCCAAGACAGGACGATCATAAAATCTGAGGCCAGCCTTGGCTACACAGAGTGAGCCTGCCTCAAGAAGAAACAAAACAAACTTCATGACCTGGGCTTGAGGACAGAAGGACTTCGGATGTTTGGGGAGAGATGATGACATAACAGAATGTACTCACTCCATATGTCTGAGGGCCAGCTCAGTTCCAGACCTTGTCCTTTTGATCTGTTTCCAGATTCAGAAACATTCCAAAAATCAACTTCAGAACACTTGTCTACACAGGGCCACATGGTACCTGTTGTGTTTGTGGTACCACAGCTACCCAGAACACAGGTGCATTAAGCAACACGCTGTTGCAAAGGCACACATGTATTACATTTAAATATTTTTCTTGAAGTCCTTAAAGTTTTCATTTCTCTCTTCTCTACACTCACTAGAAGTCAGACATCCTGAGTCCAGGCACTGTGCACACCCCACTGCCCGCTTCTGCTGGCTCTTTCTAGAGTGGACGCTTCACGATCCACATAGCACCTGCTTTCTCATTTCCCCTTAAACAAACTCATGTCTCACAAATCCCTCATTCTGCCCTCATTCCATAGTCATTTACACCTTGAAGAGATGTTTTTATTCTCAGAGGTCTAAGGAGATGGCACAGATGGTAAAGTGCTTGTTGTGTAAGCATAAGGACTTGAATTTGATCTCCAGAACCCAGGTTAAAAAAAAAAAAAAATGATAGCTTTCGTGTTTGCAAATGCTTGTATTCCCAGCACTGGGGAGGTGGAGACAGGCGGATCCCTGGGGCTCACTGGTCAGCCAGCCTAGCCTATTCAATAAGCTTCAGGCCAAGAAAAGGCCCTGTCTCAAAAAGCAAGGTGGGCTACACCAGAAGAACAGCCCTGAAGTCAACTTCCAGCTTCCACAGGCACAGGTGCACATGAGCATGTACACTCGCACACACATGAAATGTTTTTATTTTCTGTCCTTGACATCACCCCTCTTTGATTCTTCCCATAGCAGCAGCAATGGCTCCCCTTCAAATATTGAAGAGACACTAAATTGATAAACAGTCTTATAAATTTTGTACTTTTCCCACAGCCCTAAAAAGTCAGAGGAACTTTCTTTGGATCTTTTTTTTTTTTTGGTGTGTGTACTATAAGGCTGTCATTCTTTAAAATTTTTTATTACATTTATTTATTATGCATGTGTTTGTATGTGTATAGGTATGTGTGGAGGTCAGCTGGTTCTCCCCTTCCACTATGTGAGCTCTGGGGATAGAACTCAGGTCTTCATCTTGACAGCAAAGTTCTTTACTGACTGAGCCATCTTGCCGGCCCTTTTTTTTCCTTTCTCTTTCTTTTTGAGATGGCCCATGTAGCCCACACTGGCCTCAGATTCTCTATGTAGCCAAGGGTGAACTTGAACTCCTGATTCTCCTGCTTCCACATCCCAGGTGCTGGGATTACATGCACACACCACCACACCCAACTTAGGGCTCTCAATCTTTAATTTTTTTATTTTTTTATTTTTATGTGTATGAGTGTTTTAACATGTATGTAAGTGCACCATGCATGCAAAGCCTGCAGAGGCCCGAAGAGAGCATTGGATCCCCTGGAATGGAAGTTATAGCCAGTTGTTAGCTGCCATGTGAGTGCTGGGAATTGAGCCCGGTCCTCTGCAAGAGCAGTCAGTGCTATCTCTGCAGCCCCAGGGCCATGACTCTTCTGCACATACATAGATGTGAATTGGCAGAAGACAAGGGAATGCAGTTACACACTTGCCTTAAGCTCATTGGTGTCGGCCAGTTTGGCTTTGAGCTCAGTGTTACATTCTCGACACACACTCAGCTCCTTCTGCATCCTTTCCACCTTCTTCTCCAACTTCCTGATGGTGAGCTGGGCCTCGCCGTGCTCCACCTCCAGGGCAGTGCACATCTGCTTCTCTGCCTGAAGCTGGGCGATTTTCTGTCGGAGGAGGTTCGTATGTAGTTCTTTGCTTTCCAGTCGTTCTTTCTGAGTCTTTAGCTGGTATAATACAAACAGGGATTTTTTTTAATTTTATGTGCATGAGTGTATTGCCTGCATGTATGTGAGTGCACCCGTGTCGTGCAATGCCACGGAGATCAGAAGAGGGCTTCGGATTCCCCTGGAACTGGAGTTAAGGACGGTTCGTAGCCTCCATGTGGGTGCTGGGAACTGAACATGGGTCCTCTGCAAGAGCAGTCGGTGCTCTTAACCGCTGAGCCATCTCTCCAACCCCACAAACAGGGATTTTTAAAAAAATAATTGGTCAGTAAAAATAAATGAAATACTCAGATAATGCTAACTTTTTTTTGTGGGGTGGGTGTTGTTGATTTTTTTTAAATGCTAACTTTTATCTACACTCCAATAAGACTCATTTGTAAACCATCCTTTCCCTGATTACATTTTTTTATTCAAGATTTTTCCGAGAATTAATTTTGTGGCTACAAAGCAAAGGGCAAAAGAGCCACAGAAAACGTACAAAGAAGTCAGCCCACCACCGCTGCTTCTCCAATATGCTGTGCATCATAATAAAATGTAAAAGTACTTTTAAGACTAATAAAAGGGGCTTATCCAGAGCAGAATATAAGACACAGACAAAATTCTCTCCAGTACTTAATGGCCACAATCCCTACATTGGTGTCTTCTGAAACAAGATAGGGTCCATGTCAGTACTGCAAATCTGCCCAAGCTAATTTGAGTACCTGGGCTGAATGGCTCCCAGGATGAGGGCTGATACAGTCTTACAGGAGGATGCACCAAGGAGGCTATTAAGTAAGCTTTGTCTCCATCCTTCAAATCTTAGCAACAAACTTCAAGAAGATTTTACCTCTTTGAGGTCTGTGATATGCCTGGCCCATAAGATCCTCCAACCAACCAGAGAGCAAGGGCCTTTGAACATCACTTACACTGTCAATCAAACTGATGAAGGAAATCAGAGTGATTTGTAGAAAATAGCCAAGAGGGACGCCTCCTGAGCTCCGCCTGTCACTTTAGTGGGTGGGTATTAAATCCAGACCCCTCTTTCATGGGTCACAAAGACTGAGAGTAGAAATCAAGTGGAGTTATCAAATGCCCAAGACAAAGACTGTTACCTCCCGCACTTAAAACATGCTCAGGATTTGAAGTGTTGTGAGGTGGAAGCACTTCCTGAAAAGCTACTTTGAGTTTCTTGCCTGTCAGTGACAACTTTCCACACTCGGATTCCTCTTTAACATTCTAATATTTCTCTAACAACTCCCTTTTAAAAGTTGTTTAAATAATATTTTAATTTATTCTTTGAAAATGTCATACATGTATACAATGTGTTTTGATTTTATTAACTGTCCCCTACGACCTCCTTCCAACTTCCGCCATGATCCACCAAACTGTGTCCCTCCTGACTTCATGTATTCTATTATTATCATCATCACCATCACCTTCACCATCCCACAGAGTTCAATTAGTGCTGAACATATTCAAATGGGTATGAGACCATCCAATGTTTATTAATTTCATTTTGGTGGGGCATATGCATGCCACAGCATGTGTGTGGAGGTCAGAGAAAAACTTGTGGGAGTCAGTTCTCTCCTTCTACCATGTGGGTCCCAGGGATCAAACTCAGGTTGTGAAGTTTGGGTTTGGCAACAGCAAGCACCTTTACCCATTGAGCCATCTTGCCTACCCCCAATTCCTTTTCTTAAACCATTTTATGACAAATTGCATTCTATTACACATATCCACTGATAAGTTCTATACATGGGTAATTTTAATACTGATGTAATTCTTAAGAAGGACTGGTATTTGGTATTAAGAAAGGAAATCAATTATCAGGGGAGAGCTTAGGAAAGAATTGTCATTCGGTTCAATGTCCCTGGTGGTGGTCAAGTTTTCTGTTTTCTTTCACAAAATATTCCTCCAGATACAGTAAACTGAGGAAGGGGCCAAATGACAACAGAGCATCTTCTGTAAGAGTTCAAGAATGCTGTTTATTAATGTTAACAGTCTTCTGGGGCATGCATCATCCCATCTTAATATGAGGAAACAGACAGAGAGGTATGTAATTCATCAAAGGTTACACAGCCTGGTGGAGCCCAACTGGGGCCCCAGATGTGGCTCATTACACAGCCTCTACACTAGGGTTTTCTTAAGAACTATTACAAGAATGCATCTGTGTTTTCCTTCTTCTCTCTCCAACGCCAATAATTATATAATTACTAATTATACTTTATCCCTTTCATCCATTCATTCATTCATTTGCTCTAAACTATTTCTAACTCTTCCTTCGAATGAATGAAAAGAGAGCCTTTCTCCCTGTACTTTCTGGTGCAATAGAGCTGACGCATGCCAAGACTGCTAGATTCCCCCAGCTTTCCTCCTCTCTCAAAGAAGCAGGAACTGAGATATAACAGCTCTGTTTGCAGGTAACCCTCACAGCAGGTTTGGCCATTTGAGCACACTAAGTGTTCAAACACAAGTTCACCTAGTACCTTCCGGGCATCTTCTTCAAAAGACATCACTTGCAATTTCTTTCTCCCTCTTCTTCCCTTCCTTCTCCAACCTTCTACATGGAACACAGATACAGTGGGTTTAGTCGCTATTTTGAACCATGACTGTAAGATCATCATAGGGATGAGCAATTCAGAGGCTGAGATGGGCCTGGTTCCTTGAAGACTAAATGGAGGAAACCTGTCCTAACAGTTCACAGCTGCCTAAATGTCTCCAAAAAATAACGTGTGAAAGGAAACAATTTTGACTCATTTAAGCCGTTGTTTTGGGGGGCCACGTAATTCACAGTGAAATATAACCTTGGGTGATAGATCTACTCATCAAAATCTTCAGACCTGGAACTGACTGCATTTCCAAATACATATTTTTATTCTCTGTTTCTTAACCACACTGGTAACCATACTGGGAATAAATTCTTTTCAACATTTGCCCTTTCCAAACGTTCCTTTTTCTCGGTACTACTAAGTGCAATATTGCCTACCTTTCTCTGTAAATTGTGGGCAATGGTCTTGTTTTCAATGACGGTGTTGCTCTCAAGGCGGACCAGCTGCTCTGTGCGAGCTAAAACTACATCCAGACGCATATCAAAGCCAAGTTCAGCAGCCATCTGGCCCAATTTCATTTTCTCTGAAAGCTGATCCAGAAACTTCAGATACTAAACCCAGAAACAAAAATGAAAATGGGATGCAGAAGTTCATATGTAGTCTCCGATCCTTCTCGTCCCACAAGCTTACAGGTGGCTTCCTTTAAACACAACCTGGAGCCTGTACACCAACTCCAAGATTTGGTAGTGAATGTTCAAACCACTTACCAATTCCCTGGTATCTCCCTGTCCAAACATTCTTGACTGTCCTGGCCAGTAACCTTAATATTCAGTTTAATATCACACACCCATCTGAGCCCCTACTCCCATCCCATCTTGATAAAAGTCAGCTGAAACCTGCTCATCCCAGGCCATCCTAGCACCTAGAGATTACTTTAAAATCAAAGTTCTTCATACATGCAAAAGTTGAACAATATTTGGACAATTTTTTTAAGTTAAAACGCCTTAGAAGGGCTGGAGAGGTGGCTCAGTTGGTAAAGTGCTTGCTGCATAGCATGAAGATCTGAGTTCGATCCCCAGGACCCATATTTGAATTTAAAAAAAGTCAGACACTGACTGTGTCCATAATGCCAGCGCTCTGAAGGCAGAGGCAGGAGGATCCCTGGGGAATGCTGACCAGCTAGACTAGCCAAACTGGGGAGTGCCAGGTTTAATGAGAGACCCTGTCTCAAAATATAAGATGGAGAGCAACTGAGGAAGACATATGATGTCAACCATTGGTCTACAGAGAGAGAGAGAGAGAGAGAGAGAGAGAGAGAGAGAGAGAGGAGCTTTGAAAATGCTTTATAAAGTGCTTAATACATCACAGTTAGTTTAACAACACCCTAAAACAGAGCTGAATGGAAGAAGTCACAGTCCATATTTTAACAAACTAAACTTCCAAAATGGCTTAAAGGTCTTCCTGCATTTGGCAGCTGTGGGTCATCTGAGCATGCTCAGACACAAAATAACGCTAAGTGCCTGCTGCATGAGTGCGACAATCCATGAGCTTTCTATACTGTAATTGTGGGGTTGGGGTTCTAACTCTGATATTTCCTTCTCATTGCAGTAACTTCCCATGCATCTGGCACTTTGAGGCAATTAGACATTGAAATAAGTATAATTTCCTGTCATTTAAGCGTATCTGCTTAAAGTCTGGGATTATCTATATTTTAGTCATCAGGATGAATTATCTGTAAGTATGTATTTTCCAATTTTGTTAAGTAGCGTACAGATAAATACAATTTACTCTCTTCTTTATACGTCACAGCCACCACAATGCTGCAAGTTATGTTGTGTTTCGATACCACAGGTACTTTCTAATCCTGTGTCATTACTTCATCAGTTCTCTGTGCCCTGGTCAATCTCCCGTCAGAGTTTTTTTTTTTTTTTTTAATGTGTGTCAGTGTTTTGCCTGCATGTATGTAAGTGCATCCATGTTGTGCAATGCTTGCAGAAGTCAGAAGAAGGTGGTGGATCCCCTGGAACTGGAGTTACAGGCAGTTGGTAGACACCATGTGGGTGCTGGGAACCGATCCTGGGTCCTCTGCAAGAGTAGCCAGTGCTCTTAACTCCTAAACCATCTCTCCAGCCCCTGGAGTTTTATTTAATCTCTAATCTGTACCCAAATGTGACCTAGCCAATATTACTTATATTTTAAGTGGAAGAAGTAATAGCCCTTTAATCTGTTTCTATGTGTGGCCAGTCCAATTTACATTCGCGGACCTACAATAGACAAGAAGGAATTGATATGGAAGCAAGCCAAGGCCCCATAGAGGAAGTGTCTCTCCCAAAGATTTGAGCTAGGCCACATAAGATTACAGTTAAGGGGGCTAGACAGATGGCCCAGCAGCTAAAAGCATGTTACTTCTCTTGCAGAAGATTCAAGTTCAGTTCCCAGTACCCAATGTCAGGTGGCTCACAATTACCTGTAACTCTAGCTTCAAGGGATCCAACACCTTCTGGCCTCTGAGGGCACCTGCATTCAAGTAAGCAAATACACACACACACACACACACACACAAGTATAAACTATTTTCTCATGGTCTAGCTTTTTTTTATTTTAAGGCAGGTTCTCACTATGTATCCCAGGCTGGCTTTGAACTTAATATGTAGCCCAGGTGTCCTCGAATTCACAGTCCTCCTCCCTCAGCCTCCCAGGATTACAAGCATGCCCTACTGGCTTGGAAACCTTTAACTTCATAGAAATAAAAGGACTGCTGCTGCATGTTTTATTCATGTGAATCATGGTTTCACATGAGTAAGAGATTGTGGACGCTACTCTAGATTGCAAACCTGGATTATGACTAGCATTTAATCTCTGTACAATTTTGCCTTTCAGCTCTACATGATCCTGCCCCAACTGCCTTCATCAGTATAAAACTCATTGTGAACAGAATTAGCTTATATAATTGGTTTTCATAATTGGGAGTTATTCCAGCATAATTTCAATTGAGATTAATGACACATATTTATGGAGAGAAGGGAAATCAACCAACTTGAAAATCTTGCCTTCAGTGTATTTCTTCTATAATTCAAATAATCTTTATTGACTTAAGTTAGGCCCTGCAGAAACAGGAGGAGAAAACATCGGTTTCTTCTGGCTTCAGAAATCTGGGGACAGATCAGTGAGGGAAATATGTTGCGACCAAGGCAGGTCCATGCTGCTGGGAGCATGGGGGAGGGAGAGGTAAGTCTCGGGAAAGACTACCAAGAGAAGTGGTATCAAGCTGTTCTAGACAGTTCTCCTCAGCTGAAGGTGGGGAGGACATTCTCTCAAAACAGCTCCGTCTAGTGCCATGTGCCAAAGAAGCCAGAGGAGTGCTGTTCCAACCTTGAATGTGGCTGTCTCTAGACTCAGCAGCCCATTTCACATTCCTCAAATGTAACTTTCATCTTCATTCACAAAACGACTACTTCCTCCAAACCCATATTTTCTTCTGATCTAGATTGTTGATTAAATCCCCCACCTGGACTCCCTATCTCTGGCCTCCAGACTCTCCAAGCCAAATTCACTTGATAATAAACATCCTCTTATTCAAAAGCCTTCTATGGCTTTCCCTTACCCCTAGGATGGCATCATCTATGGCTTCCCTTTGCCCATAGGATAGCATCATCTATGACCTCCTTTGCCCATAGGATGGCATCTGTGGCTGCCTCTTACCCATAGGATGGCATCTGTAGTTTGCCCTTGCCCTTAGGGTGACGCCTGCATAGTTCTGCCGACCCTGCTCCGTTACTCCTGCCTGCGTCTGGTGCATCTCACATCTCTGTCCTCATCAATCATCATATGCCAAGTTCCCATCTCTTGTTTGTTCCCCAGGCCATCCTGCTTTGTTCTTGCAGTCTGCTCTTCCTGGAATGCCATCCCACCTGTTTAGTTGTTTTGCTTTGCTTTGCTTTGTTCTTTTTGGGATGTGGTCTCATTTTTTTATTCCAGTCTGTACTGGAACTCACTATGTAGCCCAGGCTGGCCTCAAACTTGCAGCAATCTTCCTGCCTCAACCTTCCAACTGCTTGGATTACAGGTGTGAGCCAGCACCATGTCCGGCCACTCCCAATTCTGCCTTACATACAGGAGAATGAAAAGGACTGAGTTTCCAGATTATACTTTTTTCATATAAGATTATCTTTCAAGCCAGGTGTGGTGGTGCAAACCTTTAATCCCAGCGCTTGGGAGGCAGAGGCTGGTGGATCTCTGTGAGTTTGAGGCCAGCCTGGTCTACATAGTGAGTTCCAGGCCAGCTGGGGCTACAGGGAAATCCTGTCTCAAAAAGACCAAAAAAAAAAAAACCAAAGAGTATCTTTCATGACCTCTGCTCTCCCCACCCCACCATGATCATATAGGACCAAGATGATATGTGCAGTCTATTGTTAATGAAGACGTCATTAGGCAGCAAGTGATGAAACCACAATGCTCACAATCATTATGTTCTATAGAAAAAAGAATCTTCAGAATCCAAGCCACCCTACTCTTCTCTTTATCATAGCCCAACTGAGAATGTCATGTTCCATCCTGTAGGATTAACCACTCTGTACTGAATCTAGTACTTACAAGACTTCATGCCCCTGTTTATACTGTTTCGCCTACAACACCTATCCCTTCTCCCCACTCTAATCCTACTTACCCTGCACAGATGACTTTAACTAGTTCTTCTATTATAAAGTCTTCTCTTTATCCAGAAATGCCTACAATATTTTAATCAATGCAACACAACTACTATAATATATATAGTCTAGGGTATAACAAGTTGGCTGAATGTCTCTTTTATTAAACGATGGACCTTTTAAACTATGCATCATCCATACTTCAGTTACCTCAAACCTTCTGTTCATTTGAAATAGGCATTTAATAAACATCTACTGAGTTTAATTGTATTGATTTGAACCAAAAGAGCTCTAAATAATAGGAAGAGACTTATTCCTTCATATTTGCTCATAATACAAGACATGATCAGACTAAGGACTGTAAGGTTCAGGAATATTTCCAAGTAAAATTTTAGCCCATGACAGATGCTTGCACCAATGGACATGCCCTCCAGTTATTACTTTTTGTTTCTCAAAATTCAAGTTGTCTCGCAAAACATCTCCAGAAACCAGCTCTCCCTCCAGGTGATTCAGCTGATCCTGTAGAGTTTCCAACTTTTTTTCTGCCTCATGAGCTCTCTGCAGAGCTTTCTGGTGAAATTCAGACTCATTTCCCAACTGTTCCACAAGCTCAGATATTTGGGCTTCAAGCTGGGTGACCATCTGGAAACAAAGGCAGAGAACAAGAACAAGCCTTGTTTAGATGCAACAAAGTGTTAAAATTCATCACTCTGCCTAAGAAGCACAACTACTAAAATAGGTTATTAGTAGCTATATTTTCCTCTGTTTGAAATAAACCTACATTCATTATCTAACTGATAATGATTGGTATTTTTCTATAATTCCTTCAACAAGTTAATTGATAAAATTATTTATAGATAATATTTACTTACCTCCAAAACTGCCAGTAATTTAGGGATTTCAAAGCTAAGTTGGAATTTTAAAAAAGGTTCAGACAAAAAGTACTTTCTAGGTCCACAAAAGAATTATTTCCCCAAAGAAATTCTTTCTGTACATGTAGGTTATTAAAGACTACACAGTGAGGGACTGGAGAGATGGCTCAATGGTTAAGAGCACAGGCTACTCTTGCAGAGGACCCAGGTTTGGTTCCCAGCACTCATACAGAGGCTAACAAGTGCCCTAACTCTAGCTCTAGGGAATTCGACACCCTTTTCCGACCTCCACAGCTATTGCACAACACAGGTGCACTTACACATATGCAGGCAATACACTCATACACATAAAGAAAAAAATAATAATAAACAAAATATTTTTCTAAAGATTGCACAGTGAGTCTATCCTGAAAATTAGCCTGGAGGTATTATGGGGAACTCAAGTATAGACATTCATTTTCTTCTTTTATTCAGCCTTCTATTGAATATTAGTTAATCATGTGCAAGACTCCAGTGGTTGTGAATCTACCTGACACATGACTATCATCCTGTTAGCATCTCAAAGAGCTAAATCTCTTGAATATGATGACTCCAAAAATCCTCTCATTATTTACATTGCTCACAGGAGTTTCTTCCTTTATCTTGATTTTCCTAGCCCTTAAATGAAGGGCCTAAGTTTATCAAAGACCCTGAGTACACTTCCAGAATACTCAAATTTATTTGACTAAATCCAGTTTTCATAAAATTCTGAGCTCAAAAAAAATTGAGGTAGGTTCTGGCATCCATCTGGCCTCCATCTAGCAGAGGGCCTGAGAACCCAGGGGACTCCCTGAGAGCCCCCAGATCCTGCCTCCATGTGGTGGTGAGCTTCCCCTAATTGTGCCATACCCATCCCCCTACTTGGGGTTTTGTGAGGCCCCTCCCAAGGCCCCAGGGCAGATCTGGATTTGGTAGGCTAAGGCAGAGATCCTAGCAGACAGCCTGAGAGGGTAGGTTCGGACCTCCATCAGTGTAGGTGTAGTGGCTCTGATCTCAGCAGACCACCAGGGAGAGTAGTGTTCTGGCCTCCATCTGGCTTCTCTCTGGCATAGGGTTGAGAACACAGGGACTGCCTGAGAGCACCAGGATCCTGCCCCCACATGGTGAAGGAAGCCTGAGTGTACCTGACTAGAACCTGAATTGGTTTTCTGTGGGTACTCCTGAATAGCGGATCTGAAGCCATCAATTCCCTCCAAATTAAACCTGAGAGAACCTGAACCCTGTACCAACCAGCTTTACATAACCAATAAAGAAAGGATCTAGGCACCCAGATAATACAAACAGAAGCATACTTCAACTTAATTCTCATATCAGAATCATAAACAACAAAAGAAATTCACATGCCAAAACCACAATGAAAGAATAAAAATATGGAAAGCCAAATCACTATGTCACCATCAAACCCTACCAATCCTGTAAAAGAGTTCTACAAGGAGAACCCCCTAGAGATAACCCAGGACACTGAATTTAAAAGAACAATCATAAACACGATCAAGGAATTCAATGAATTTAAAGAACACATGAACAAACAAATCAAAGAGCTAAAAGAAGTTAGGGATAAACTTCTGAATGAATTCACAAAAGAAATAGAAACATTGAAGAAAGCTCAAGCAGAAACGAAGAAGGAAGTGCAAAACTCAATAAGCCAACTTGAAACAACAGGGAAAAGCCTCACCTCTTGAATGAATGAAATGGAAAACAAAATATCAACACTGGAGGATAAAGTTGAAGAATTGGACCACTCAAGCAAAGCCTATGGAAAATTTTTAAAAACGCAGGAATGGAATACGCAAGAGAGATGTGGGACACCATGAAAAGACCAAATCTTCAGATCATAGGAAGAGAGGAAGGATAATTTCAGGTTAATTTCGGATCTTAAACAGGATTGTAGAAGAGAATTTCCCAAAATTAAGGAAAGACATCCCCATACAAATACAGGAAGCGCACAGAACACCGAAAAGAACACCACCTAGAACCAAACATATCATAGTAAAAACCCTAAATGTACAGAACAAAGAGAGAACACTGAAAGCAGCAAAAGAAAAACAAGTCACATAAAAGGAAAGCCCATCAGGATTACAGCTGACTTAGCAATGCAAACTATGAAATCCAAAAGAGCCTGGACCAAGGTATTTCCAGTTCTACATGACAATAGATGCCAGCCCAGAATTCTATACCCAGCAAAAATGTCTATTATAGTTGAGAAAGAAAAATCTTCCATGACATAAATAGCATGAAAGAATACATGTCCACAAAACCAGCCCTCCAAAGAATACTTGAAGCAATACAGAGAGCAGAGAGAAAAACGACTATACCCCAGGGACAACAAAAGAAAATAAAGATATAATCTAGGAAACAAAATTACACAGAGAAACCAAACAGTAATCGAAATGACAACAACCAATACACACCTTTCAGTAATAACCTTAAATATCAATGGACTGAACTCCCCCATCAAAACACACAGGCTAAGTGAATGGATTAAGAAACAAAATCCACCTCTTTGCTGTCTGCAAGAAACACATCTCACCTTCAAGGACAGGCACTACCTTAAGGTAAAAGGATGCAAAAGAATATTCCAAGCAAATGGCACTAAGAAACAAGCAGGGGTTGCAATTCTAGTATCTGACAAAATGGACTTCAAAGTAAAACTAATCAGGAGAAATAAGGAAGGTCACTTCATTCTGATCAAAGGAACAGTTAACCAAGAAGATATTACAATCCTTAACATATATGCACCAAATTCTGGTGCACCCAAATTCATAAAAACAACACTACAGGACTTTAAGACACAGATTTACCCCAATTCAGTAAGAGTAGGGGACTTTAATTTCCCCACAGTCTCCATTAGACAGGTCAACTGGACAAAGAATAAACAGAGAGACATCTGAATTAAATGATACCATACATCAAATGGACCTAACAGACATCTTTTGATTATTCCACCCAAACACCAAAGAATACACTTTCTACTCAGCACCTCATGGAACTTTTTCAAATTGACCACATACAGGACCACAAAACAAACCTCAACAAACACCAAAAAACTGAAAAAATTCCATGCATTCTATTGGACCACAAAGCAATAAAGCTCAAAATCAACACTGGACAAAGCTCTAGTCACTACACAAACTCGTGGTGATTGAACAACACACTCCTAAACAATGAGTGGGTCAAAGAAGAAATTAAGAAAGAAATAAAAGAATTCCTGGAATTTGACGAAAAAGACAATACCATACAACACAACCTCTAGGACACATTAAAAGCAGTCCTAGGGAAGTTTATAGCTCTAAGAGCCTACATTAAAAATTGGAAAGAGCCCAAATATATGACCTAACACTGCAACTGAAGGCACTGGAAAGGTAAGAACAAGTGAAACCCAAACCAGGCAGAAGAGAAGAAATAACAAAAATCAGAGCAGAAATTAATGAAATAGAAACAAAGAAAACAATACAAAGAATCAATGAATCTAAGAGCTGGTTCTTTGAAAAGCTAAACAAGATAGACAGACCCTTAGTCCAGTTAACCAAAAGAAAGAAAGAAAAAATCCAAATCAACGAACATCACAACAGACACCCAAAAGATCCAGACCATTATAAGGGAATATTTTTAAAACATATACAGTACTAAATATAAAAGTCTAAAAGAAATGA